ATAAGAGAAGAAAGAAGAGAAGGGATGTTCGCCTACTTAGCCTACTCCTTCCTCCGGAACCCTGCTGTTCAATCACAAGCTTCAGCTACTCTTCCCGCCTCTCCTTATTGATAAAAAGTTGAAAAATAGACTTCCTACCGCTCTAAGCGAGAAGATAGAAACAAGGTTTTGCCAAGGAAAGCTCCTAAAAAAAAAATCAAATGATTGCCTGGTTTACTAGGATAGGACGCTACAGACAGGACCAATCCTAGTCGAAAACTCTTCTTGACAGATCCGATTGGGTGTTCATGGGTAGCCTGAGCACCGATCCTGATTGACGAATGCTTTCTTGCTGCTCTCCCTATTCTATTATATTATATAACCGTGTTTATTTACCACGCTGCTGTCCCGGAATAGGCGCATCCTTTGCTGCCATAGAGCGAAAGACAAGAGCACAGGACACTGGAAGAGATGGCTAAGCTCAACTTCAAAAGAAAGAAAGAAAATGAGAGGGAAGAAGAATGCAAGCAACGGATATAAGCGTCCTAGCGTAGCGCGAAAGGACTGTACGCGCAAAAAGACTATATAGAAATATGAAAGTGGAATGAAAGTAGTCTACACTGATAGATTATACAACATTTCCACAAGTAAAAGGTTGAGATGAGACGGCTAGTTAAGGTGGAAAGGAGCTCGTTCCCCTGTGTTCTGTCTGCCCAATCCAGTTTCAGAGGTTCAGAAGGCAAAGGCAACTCTCAGACCATTTGAGTTTACAGACTCTGCCGCTTAGGTGACTACGAGATAGAACATGGGTTCACCCGCTCAAAACTACAACTAGACTACCAGTAGAGGAACTTAACGGGCAAGAAGACCTACTAATAGGAAGAAAAGGTGCTATCCCAATAGGTTCCGGATCGGATCGAGCAATAAGTGAAGGAGCTTGACCAATCCCAATGAGGGAAGTAGCTGAAAGAGAAGCGGAAAGGGACATCTTGAACTCAGGGGGAAGGGACCTTAACGACAACAAAAGAAGTGCGTGCATTTCCCGATCAAAGAAGCCCTTGAACTCACCTTCATTCAACAAAGAAACTTCACGCATGAACTCTCCTCGGGATTGGACTCTTTCTGACAGCCCTTTTGCCAGCGTAGCGCATTGATTGGCACATTGAAGTGGGGAATGAAAAAGATAGGAAGTTTGAACAGCATCTTTGAAGCTACATCTCCTCATGTCTTCAACAGTCTTGAGTTCGGGTTAATGGACGGGAAATGAAAGGAGTGTCCAGCCGCTCGACCATAGAGCACTATGAAAGCCTTGTTTCCAGCAAACCAAGAAGCAATCAAGATTCCACGCCAACATACAGGGCTCATAATGCCTATCCTTTGACGTCTGGTTTCAGGAAAAGCGCAAATGAGAGGGCATTGGAGTATACAGAACCTGGGAATCCATCTTCGTTGATGGCTCTACCAGAGTGGGACCATTCTTCATGGCCCGCGGCCTACGTGACTAAGGGGGATCGTGACCCTCGCGTTTCGGGAATATACACCAAAGATGAGATCCTCGAGTTGGCGGCTGCCTGCCGAAAGAAGAAGAGGTCGCCAGGGGAGGGTAGTCAGACGGTCATTCAAGAGCTGGGTCGTTGAGGGCTTGGACTGATTTTGGGATACCATCATCTGAGTCCCTTCCACCCTGTGATTTGCCTTTACAGACGTTACCATTACTAAGAAAAGTAAGTAGGAATTCGTCCCAGATAAAATACTGATCTAGCTCTTTCGCATCGAGGAAAACCCGTATTTCAGATTAGGCGTCCTTTGCTCGAACGAAAGAGGGGGTCTTTGCCGAGTGGAAGGGACCGATGCTAGTAGTTAGATTCAATAAGTCTTAAATAGAAGCCAAATCCAGTTGAGAAGAGACAAGCACGGTGACATCCATCGAAGGGGTCTCGGTCGATAAGCGGCCCAGGTAAAGCCAGATTTCAAAGGTAGAATGTATT